TGCCTGCTGGTCCAGAGATGAGGTCACCACCGAGGCTGTCTTCTCCTCCATGCTGCGGCTTCCCTGCCTGGTCAGGATCTTCACTTCACGGATCCGGCAGCCCCCCAGCTCCGGCGATGCCCGCTGCTGTGGCTCCCCCACCTCCTTCCTCTGCTCCTCCTGAGGCATCCCCAGACCTTGTCCCTCTTTATCCTGGAGACGTCCCCTCACCATTGTCTTCCTCTCCGAGGCTGGCTCCGGGTGCTGGTCTCCTGGTGGGTCCCCTCTGCCCTTGGCCGCATCCTGACCCTGCTCTCCAGCCTGGATGCTCTCCTGCCCGACACACGGCTGCATCCCCTCTTCCTCATCCTCCGAAGACACTGATTTCACCAGAGATTGATGTCTAGAGACAGAGACAAAACAGGGGGCAAATCTCAGCACCCCAGGGCCAGAGGGCTGGCTTTTATGCTGCAGGAGAGGTTAACCCAGGTGAAAGGCTTGGGGGGGGGCATAAAAATCCCACCAATGTCTCGGGAGTCATCCCTGCAGACCAGGACTTGCAGCCACGCTCATCCCCATCATCCCAGCTAGGCGCTCTGAGGACAAGTTTGGATTAAAAGTCTTTTTTTTTCCTTTTTGTGGCAGAGATTGAGCATTTCTGCAGCCTCATCCCAGGACATCAGCATCCACTAAGTCCTGTGCCAAGGAGCTGTGGGCTCAGAGCAGTGTGCTGGGTCTGCTGCTGGGTGAGGCATGCGTCCATGGCTCTTTGGTGGTTCAGGAAAAAATACCACTATCTTTAAAGTTTAAAGTGTTGGTTGTAAGACAGTCTGCTATGGCAGGGTTCAACCACAGTCCCAACACCTTCTGCAAAACAGTCATTTTCCTCTCCTTCCCACAGGCAAACATAGAATCATAGAATCGTTAAGATTGGAAAAGACCCTTGCCATAGGCACCAGATTTGGGTAGAGGCAGATAGGACATTTGTCCAGGGCCACACAGACTGTATCTACATGGTCTCCAGGTCTTGGAAAAGATGGGATAATACTTCCACTCCTTCTGAATTTCAATGACCACATGGCCAGCCTGTGCAAGCACCAGGGAAGGGGGACGTGTCCTATCTAGCTTGTTCACATTAGCCATGTCCAACCCATATGCAACCCAGGCATCCTAACTCCGTGACATCTGCAGAGAGAAACACCTATAGAGCATGAGTCTCACTATGGACATAAGACATCTAAATATCGGACATTTCCAAGATCAATTTAGAGAGTGGGTCAGGTTGTGTAAGGGCAGTCTGATTTCAGGGCACCTCTGAATCCCAGCTCCCTGCAGCAAGGGGCTTTGGGAACACCACTGGAAAGCCCTTGGGTCACCTCTCCACTTCAGCACAGGCCATAAAACATCACCGCAAGGTTCATAGGAGCAGGAGGACAGCCAGTCAGGTGCTGCATGCTCAGCCCACCTTCCCTGCAGAGGTGGGTGCCTGTCCGTTCTTATCTGCTCAAGATGCCACTAGGGCATGGCCAGCACCCACCTGAGCTCAACCTCGACGCTGCCCCTCACCCTGGCGCACCAGCTCCCTGTGCCATGGGACATGTTTAGGCCCATGATTGAACCCACCAGAGATATACTCCTCCTCTTCTACTCCTCCTGTGAAGCCCATCCTGCCCAGGGGCCCGCTGGACCCCTGCTCTTCCCACAGCTCAGCCCACTCTCATCCAGAAGAGACTCCCACCAACAGCAGCAGTTTTGGCTCAGGGTTGAGAAAAACAAGGCAGCCAGCTGCAAGCCGTCAGTGCCATGAGTAAGACTGATGCTAGCAGGACCTCACGCACCTGCTGGAAGCAGGACTGGTGTCTTTCACAGGGCTAGGAAGTTCTTCATCCGTCGATGTGGAGGACAGCAGGCTCCGGTGCCTTCGCCGGCGCTCTCTTTGCTGCTCTTCTTCATCTTCAAGGGTCCTCTGCCTGGCCAGGCTGTTTGGGATGAAACATAACATCATAATGAGGCTGTGCCCTGCACAGGGAGCTTGCAGCCCTGGTGCCAGACAAGAAAGGAGACCAAAATGCCCTTGGGCAAGGGATGAGGGGCTGGCAGAGGTTGCCTTCCCCAGCTGGTGCATGGGTCTGGTGGAGAGGACACCAACGGGAGCCAGGTGTTGCAAAGCACCCTCGCTCCACCCAGCTGATGCAGGCATTTCCCAACACAAACACTTGGCTTTACAACTCCCAATTTCTTCTGTTGGAGGGAGCACTCATTTAAAAGGAATCCCTATATTAAGCAAACCTTCCCGGGCAAGGATATTTAACCCGTAAGTCAGCAAGACCGGGACCCTAGAGTCACCACATAGATCTCAACCACATAAACTGGAAGGGTAACCGCTAGTGGCAGAAGATTTTAGCCCCAGCACGAGTTGTGGCAATGGCATTTTAATTTTTATTGAGCAAAAAGCCTCAGAGGCCGAAGGTACTGCTGACAAGCTCTGCCTGGAAACAGGGACAGGAGGAGCTCCTCTTACTCCCTGCATGTGGCTGGGCCTGGGAATTGTTTGTAATCACAGATTGTACCAGAAAGACAAGGTTTGTAATCATCTTTAAAGAGTCATCTTCAAAGACTTTATATTGCACAAGCCAAGTAAATATTTTTTTGGATAAAATGCCAACCTGAATAAAAACTCATTGGGACAACACCAGCTTTCCTTTCTTCTCTGTGCAAAACCTGCCCGGCCTCTACGCCTTTTACTGGCTGGGTTGAGCTTCTCACAACAGTGTTCATCTGCCTACAGCACTAGTCCTCAATCAGCTGCAAACGCGCGCAGGGGTCCCGGTGGAGCTCCCCGCACCCCCAACAGCCCGACGGGGCAGAGCCCTCCCTGCACAGGGTCCGTCCCCTCTCAGTGTCCCAGCTCTGGAGCTGGCACTCCAGTTTCATCCAGACTCAGGGTTTACTTTGAATTTGACTTTTAAGAATGTGAAAGTCAGAGCAGGTCAGGGCCTGCGGTATCGCTAACATCATTGCGGACACGGTGACTCGCAGCGTGGTTTACGAGTTACTGTGTAATGAAAGCTGGGTCATAAATTAAACCACATTACCCCCCGCAAATATTCGCAGCTTCTGTTCTTCCTGGTGGAGGGAGGCGGGGGAGCACGAGAGGGTCAGCAGAGCAGAACGGAGAGCAAAAGGGGGACAGGTCCTGGCTGAGAGCTCAGCACCTGGTTGGGGACAGGGCAACGTGTGCTGCCCTTTCCTCCTGCTGCCTCCATCCCCATCGCCCCCTGCTCCCCCCAGCAGCCTTCACACCTCAGCAGCAATCGGACCCACTGCTGGGGGGCTCCAGGGTGGTCCCTGATGCCATGCTTGGTATTGGGAGAGACAGGGATGGAGAAGGCTGGGACCTGCCCCGGGGAGCCGTGAGCATCCCCAGCCGGTTCTCACCCCACCGGGGGACACCTCCCCATTCAGCTCCTTGCGGCTGTACTCGCCTCCGTGGGCCTGACCATGTCAATATATGTACACAGCTTAGCTGCACTGGGAAGGCAGCACGGCTTTATTTGCACAGCACGGCGTGATCTCCTGGTGAGACGTGCTGCAGCAATCACTGCACACATGCATTCCCACCCGGCAAAGTTAGCACGTGGGGATGTATGCACGCAGGTGCCTCAAGCAGTGACAGCATGGAGTGCTAACGCTAGTTTAAAGCCACGTTAGGGCCAGTTACTTCTTTGGTTTTGCATGCACAGGCTCCTTCAAAATGAAAATGAGATTTTCCTGCCTTGAATGTGCTCCGCTCCTGCAGAGGCAGTGCGTAACCTAGCATTATCAACATGCAGTTTCTCGTTATTTGTAATTAAGTAATCCACCCATTTGGCTATGGATTTGCTTTGCCAATCTTCCCCTCCTCTTTTCAAAGAGGGATTTGTTTTTCACCATCTTACCTTTTTTAACCTCAAAGAGATTAATAAAAAAAGATCGGCAAGTCTCCCCTGCCTTGTCGTCTCCTGCCCTGTTAATCATTAGTGCTGAGATATCTGACATTTATGCTGTTTCAGTGAATGCTGTCTCATCTAACAAGAGAGGAGAAACTGCCTTCCTGGGTTGTGAAACAACCTGGATGCAGGACCCCACCGGGCTTGCATTCGGGCAGCTCCATGGGGCAGAGGAGGTGGATATGGATGGGGCTGGGATGCCCTCTGGATCCATCCCAGCCGTCATGGAGGCAGGGTGTGAGCTGCCAGCCTCCGAGCAACAGGGTCTCTCTTCATTCCCATTTCTGGGCTGGCCATGGTGGGTGTCTTACCCAGAGTACTGGGATTTTCAGTTAAGTCTCGGAGCCATCACATCCACTCAAACTAGGATTTCTGCTCCATTTTGTGGGAGAGCACGGCTGCATTTGAGTCACCGTCACCCCATCTGCATAGCCAAGGTCAGCGGTGCTTGCCCCGAGGTCTGCAGGAGGTCAGGAGCGATCCCCGCATCACCCAGGCTTTGTGTGAGCCCCTGACTCACCCCGTGATGCCCAGGAGCCTCACCTGCCCCGGCTCCCATCGGACACCTTTTAGGAAAGACCGAGCGGAGCAGCCAGTGCCGTGGGGCTGTGGGGAGCATTCAGCAGCTGCTGATGAATCAGGGCTTGCTCAGCTCCGGATGGGCTGAGCCTGCAACCGCTGCATGGCGGAGCCAGGACGCACACCCAGGGGTTGTACGGATATGGGGCGAGTGAAAAAACCCCACAGCCAGCTCTGGAGCAAGTCTGGAGGCGCAGCCCAACCAGCCAGACCCTAAGCCAAAGAAAGACAAACCAGACCAAAAATATATCCAACACAGGGCAAGGATGCATTTCCAGAGCCATTTTCCTATGCAGCACTCAGCTTCCTCAGGCAGCAGAAAGAAACCTGCCTCGGATCTTGCCCACCCATGAGAAACTCCAGCAGTTGCCAAGCACTTGCTGGGGCTGGCACCACCTCTGCAAGCGACACTCCCCACGGCAGCTGTCCCCTCTTCCCATCCTCCCCAACACCCCTTGGCCGAGGCTCACCCCCTCCTTCCCACCGGTGGAAAGGGTTAAGCATTAAACCACAGCACCTACCTGGAGAGATCAGACCAGTTCCTT